ATTAGCACTGTAGCACTGTCCTCCCATTATTCATTGATTTGCTCGAGCAGGCCCAGTAACATTGTGAGACTTGTTACTGTGTTTGGCATATCGAATACGTCACAGGTCTAGCTTGCCAGGCTTTGCTGTGCGGGCAAGATACTCTCGGTAGCTTGCCAGGCTCTCCAAGAGGGGCGGAGGAATCGAACTCGGGTCGGCTGGGTTGGCCATGTGCAAGGCAACTGCCCTACCCACTGTGCTATCGCTCCAGCCCAATTTTATGATTAAGCTACAGTAAATCATATCTAAATCTTTTCCCCCTAAATTTAGAACTGGAGGGACTGGAGCAGTAGCACAGTGGGTAGGGCGTTTGCCTTGCATGCTGCCGACCCAGGTTCGATTCTCAGCATTCCATCTGGTCCCCCAAGCACCATGAGGAGTAATTCCTGAGTGCAGAGCCAGCAGTAACCCCTGAGCATTGCCGCATGTGACCGAAAAAGAAAAAAAAATTAGAACTGGAGAAGATAATATAGGAGGTAACAGTGCTTCTCCCAGGTTCAGTCTTTAGATCACATAAGGTCCCTACAGCCTCTCCAGGGGTCCTTCTGAACACTATTATTCTGGCTCCTAAGAAGGCTTCTTTGTAGGGGAATATAAAAGACATGTTTTTCTTGGACCGAGAGAGATAGGACAGTGGGGAGGGGAGAGTGCTTGCATTGTACACAACTGGCCCAGGTTTGGTCTCCAGCATCTCATATAGTATCATGGGCCCCCACAGGCGTGATCCTTGCACACAGAGCCAGAAGTAAGACTTGAGTACTGCTGGGTATGGTTAAAAAAAAAGAAAAGAAAAGAAAGATGTGCTCCTGTATGATGTAGATTTCCAAACATAAATGGGATGTTTTCCATAATATCACAAAATGGTATTTATAGAAAGGCAAAGTAATCACTGTAAAACTTATTTTGTTTTTTAAGGCAGCAAACCTGATGTATATTATATGAGTATATTATATGGGAGATGTGAGCATGCAATAACCATATATTTTCTATGTTTCAAATGACTAAAGGACAAAACCATATCAGAGCCAAAGTAGTTATAGTTTATGGGATTCTAAATTTTGTATGTTACTGAAAATACTCAAATATTATGCTGAGTATTTTGACACCTCTTATTTCTGATTTTTTAAAATTTGCATCTACTAGGTGGTGCTTAGGACTGACTCCTGGCTCTAATAGGCTCAGGGATTACTCCTGGGCAGTGCTCTGGAGACCATTTGTTGTGCTAGGGATTGAACCCCGGTCGACCACATAAAAGACAACCTGCTGTACAATATTATCTCTCCAGCAATTTAAAATTTCTTATATGCTGGATAAGATTCTTTGGAATAGGTTTAGAGACCTATTTCAGGACTACATGATTTCAGAAAGGTCTGTTGGTACAACCAATTAAGAAACTTATTTTTCAATTTTGTTTTGGGAAGCACACCAGTAGTGCTCAGGGGCTATTCCTGTGCTCTGTGCTCACAAGTGACCTCTAGTGGTGACTAGGAAACATACATACATATATATATATATATAAAAGCTTGGAGCCATAGCACAGCGGGTAGGACGTTTACCTTGCAAGCGGCCCACACGGCAGACCCGAGTTCGATTCCCCTGCCCCTCTTGGAGAGCCCAGCAAGCTACCAAGAGTATCTCGCCCGCATGGCAAAGTCTGGCAAGCTACCCATGACGTATTCGATATGCCAAACACAGTAACAACAAGTCTCACAATGGAAATGTTACTGGGCCCGCTGGAGCAAATCTATGAATAAAGGGAGGACAGTTCTACAGTGATATATATATATATATATATATATATATATATATATAGCCAGCGTTTTGAACCAGGGTTGGTGGGATGCAGGGTAAATGCTTGCACTATCTCTTCAGCACCAGGAACATTTTGTTTTGTTTTCTTTTGTTTTGTTTGGGGGCCACACCCAGTGGTGCTCAGGGCTTACTCCTGCTCTGTGCCCAGAGATCATTTCTGACAGGTTGGGGCACCATATGGGGTGTTGGGGACTGAACTCAGGCAAATGCCTTATCTACTATACTATGTCATTCTGTCTCCAAGCACGTTTTAAATGCTGACCCATTAGAATATTTTTGCTAAGGGTCCAAATAGATTGATTGTAAGCTAGAAATAGAGATCGCAATTCTGTCAGGCCTATGATTTGATAAAATTGCTTTCCATTACCCCCACAGAAGCTTCATTAGACAGTCATCAGGTTACCATGTTGACCAAGATATGTCACAAATTAGGTCCTATCTCAGGTTCCATTTCTAAGGCAGTGGCACCAGGCACCCCATTTTTATTGAATGCAGCTATTGTTTCTGTGGCCATTAGATTCTTGGAATCAGAACCCCATTTTGGGACAGTACTTCTCCACATTTAAAAGTTGCTAGTGTTAAAAGCTCCACACCACTTTTATCATGAGCTGTTGTTCTTCATCTTCATATTTCAGTCCAATTTTTTTTAAATGTTAAAGTTAACATTTAACTTTAAAAGTTAAATGGGTTTGTGTGTTTTGGGCCAGCCATGCCCAGCTGTGTTCAGGGTAAACTCCTAGTTCTGCACTTAGGGATCACTCCTGGCAGGAATCAGAGGACTATATTTGGTGCCAGAAATGGAACCTGGGACAGTTTGTGCGAGACAAGAGACTTAGCTGCTTTCCTGACTCTCCAGCCCCTCACTGCACCCTTAATGCTAGTACAGCAAGCACTGGAGGTCTCCCACAACCTTCCACACAATGAACAGCAGCGAAACAACCAGACAACCAGGTTTCCTCATAAAACTTATTTTTTTTTTGGTATTAACTAGTGATTAACAATCTGGTTAGACATTGGTACATTATCATCATCAAAAGAACAGTGGAGAATAGATGCCTTCTTTCTTCACAAGTGTGATATCACAGCTTGCTTGACATACATCCTTCATTCCTCTACAGATTTATCCAGCTTCACATTTATTGGATTATGTGTAACAAGAAATCTCACGTTCTTACATGAGACATCCATAGGAGCTGGGTGTTTCCTCTGGGCCGTGTTAATTTAGTTCCAAAATTAACTTACGGGCTGGAGTGATAGTATGGTATGTCGGGCACTTGTTTTGCAGGAAGCTGATCCCCAAGCTCAATCCTGGGAACTGTATGGTCCCCTGAGCCCTGCCAAGTAGTGATCCCTGAGTGCAGAGCCAGGAGAAAGCCCTGAGAACTTCCAGGTGTGGCCTTCCCCCAAAAAAATTAACTTAAAAAACTGAGCCCATTCAATTTCATGTTTTTTTAAACCTGAGACCACAGAGATAGAATGCAGGATAAGGCACTTGCCTTGCATGGAGCTGACCCAAATTAGATTCCTGGCACTGCTTAAGATTCCCTGAGTACTGTCAGGAGTGATACTTGAGCAACACTGGGTTTCTCCTGTTAAAGAACTAGTGGAGAATCTAGGAGAAAACAAATACAACTAAATAATGTTTACAGTTTGGTTGAAAGAGAGGTGTCTGGCCTGATTTAATTCATACACATACACTGCCTAAAACCAGAGTTCAGACTATAGTGGTTTAACTTGGAGCCATAACAAATTCCCCTGTACTAAATCTTGTTAATTAGAAAAGCAGCACTCTGAAAATATGTTTTATTAAGGCTCCTGCCTTCTTTTTCATAAAACTATGAATTTATAAAAATAAGATATTAATAGAACAGATATAAAGCCAAAAAACAGAGTTTTTTCTATCCAGTTGCAGTTGTAGGCCCTATTTCTGATAGAGCTGCTGCTGCTACTCTTTCTAGAAGGATCTTGGGTGTGCTGTAGTAGTATTCAGATATGAAGTTCTTGGGAAAATTATCCACATTTTAATTTTTTTCCTTTTTTGGGGGGTGGGGGGGGGCAGGCACCCTGCAGTGCCCAGGGGCTCTGCTCTCAGGGGTCACACTCCTAGTGGAGCACAGGGACCATGTGGTGCTTGAGACCATGCAGTGCCAGGCCCAGGGACATTGAAAAGCATTTAGAAGCATTTGAAATCAGGCCACTTGCCAAACACTAGTCTAAGACTCATATTGACTCATTTTAACTTTCACTTAAACCTTTCATGTAAGAATTGCGGCTGTTCTCTACTAAGTGCAAAAGGCTAGAAAAGGATTTGACGATTGGGTCAAAAGTCCTACTTAAAGCTGGATACCACTCACTGCTCCACCTGACTGTAACCTCTCAAGTCATTCCCTCCAGGTTCTAATTCTAGCTCTATCACTTATAACAAGTTAATATGAAAGAAAGATATATATATATATATGAAGTATATATATGTGTATACACATGCATGCACACACACACACACACACACACACACACACACATATATATATATATATGGGCTGGAGCGATAGCACAGCGGTAGGGCGTTTGCCTTGCATGGCTGACCTGAGTTCAATTCTTCCGCCCCTCTCGGAGAGCCCGGCAAGCTACTGAGAGTATCTTGCCCACACGGCAGAGCCTGGCAAGCTACCTGTGATGTATTCAATATGCCAAACACAGTAACAACAGTCTCCAATGGAGATGTTACTGGGCCCACTCAGTGACTATATCTGTCACTGTCACTGTCCTCCCGTTGTTCATCGATTTGCTCGAGCGGGCCCAGTAACATTGTGAGACTTGTTACTGTGTTTGGCATATCGAAGACGTCACGGGTAGCTTGCCAGGCTTTGCTATGCAGGCGAAATACTCTCAGTAGCTTGCCGGACTCTCCGAGAGGGGCAGAGGAATTGAACTCGGGTCGATGGTGTCGGCCTGTGCAAGGCAAATGCCCTACTCGCTGTGCTATCGCTCCAGTCATATATATATCTATGCTTTTTAAAAATTCTAGGATGAAGAGAAAATTAGTATACACTCTGATTATTCTAATAGAGCTATTTTTAGAGGTGTCTTCATTCCCTGTGTTTGTATTTCCAAGTAGGGGTCTGAGAGATCTTTGTTCTTTTTTTCAGTTCTGAGGCTTTCTACCAATGCAGGCCAGTGGAAAGAAGCAGCTAGCAAGGTGACCCATGCATTGGTTAATATCAGGTAAGAGCCAGAAGTTATCTTGGTTTATCCTGAGGTTTTTTTTTTTTTTATACCTTTTAAATGGAGTTTGCTCAGCACCACTATAATTTAAAGCCCTGCTGTCTGTAGAAATGGAAGAGATTGTCGTATTTGATCAAGAACATCAGGAGTATGTGAGGCTTTCCTTTAAGTCCGCTGAAATAGCTCACAGTGCTATTCTACGAATTTCCTACCAAGAGATGGGTGCAAACCGTTTTCAGGAGTCTTTGTTGCTGGAATGTGTTCTATTGATAAGATCTCAAAGCTTTTCTCTGAAATTTTGTTCTGTGAGTTCCGTGAATGACTCATGCGGATCTGGAACTTTGACGTTTTGCTTTGCATGGCTATTCTATTTGTGGTAAACAGAGACAAATGGAACTCATGGGGCTAAGTCATTTCTATTTTAAAAGTTTATTATAAAATGGAAGGCATTTATAGAATGCTGTATTTAATGGACAGTAATACTGAGTCAGAAATAGAATTCGTTTAGGGTCTTCAGGAGATACTACTCACCCAGAAAGTGAGCTGTTTTGTAAATGGAGAAAATGTGCTTTCAGTGTTATGAAATCCAAAGCTGACTTTTGTTACATTCCTCACTCCCTTTGTGCCTATCATTTTCCATTTTCTCAACAGTTATTAAATTGTTCTTGCAAACAGTTGAAAAATTAATGTTGAGTAGAAGAGGCAAACCCAGCAGATGGGGAAACTTGATTTAGCTCCAGATGTAAGCCTTGCCAGATAATCCCAGTAATAGTAATACACAGTTACAACTTGGTATAGATTCTAATGCGTGACAGAGCTGAAATTAAGTATTTCTGTGTTTCCCTTTCTCTTTCTTTTTTTCTCTTAATGTGGAATATCCTGTGCTTGCTCTAATATACTACAGTTCTTGGCACATCTGGGAACAAAAAGAAAAGTGTGAAATGTATGTGTTGGGAGGTCTGGGCTGAGGGAGCATGGAGATGAGAGGTGCTAACAAGATAGGCTTGAAGGCTGATCTGCCTTACCTGACTCTAGAGACATTTTGCAGCAAACATAGTTTTATAAATCTTACAAATAAATGCATATCTGTACCTAGCAAATAAGTCAGATAGTATGGAAAGACGTTATGATGAATGTGATTTTCTGTAAAAACAAGGAATTGCATACTGTCTTCTCCCAAATATCCCTTTGTGACCCAAGGGCAGTATGACATATGTGGGCGTTTGGAAGAAGCTCCACATTCTGGGCTAGAGTATCAAGTGCGTTATAGTTATAATTTATGTTTTTCTTATTTATTAATGTATTTACTTAGGCTTTTCACTCAGCTCCTTTTCATCTGGGGCTCTTTCCTCAATCACATTTCTTTATGTCGGCATTGTTTCCTACTTTGTTGTCTTTCCTTATTTGGCTTCTGTCTTTGTTGCTGTCCTTGGGGGTGGGGGATGGGGCACACCCAGCCATACTTAGGGGTTACTCCTACCAGTGCCCAGGGATATGGGATATTAGGAATTGAACCTGGGATGACCATGTGCAAGGCAAGCACCAATCCGCTGTACTCTCTCTCCAGCCCCTGTCTTTGTTCTTTTTGAGAGCCATGAAGCAGCTGATTTAAGCTTTTGGCCTATCCTTTTTCTGAGTGGTCCACAAATGACTGAACTTATCTTTGAATGAATGCCCATAGCATATTTTGTTCATTTTCTTTGCAACTCTGTCAGATCTATACCTTGGTTTTAATTCCTCAAACTGCTTTTGAACTTCCTTCAGAGAATCATTACATGCTTTTCACTGTCATTAATGGATTATGCTCAGCATGTGCCAAAAATATCAAAGACTCAACCATTTTTTTTCTAGAGAGTTCTGGAAAGATGTGCTTGAGTACCACGTTCCACACTAAGTCCAAAGTAAGGAGAAATTTTGGTGACATTTCTAAGTGCAAAAGCTTACTTTTTTCCTTTCTCACGTTTCTCCTACTTAATTAACACTGAGGGCTGGAGCCGTAGCACAGCAGGTGGGGCGTTTGCCTTGTACATGGCTGAACGGGTTCGATTCATCCATCCCTCTCGGAGCTCGGCAAGTTACCAAGAGTATCCCGCCCGCGTGGCAGAACCTGGCAAGCTCCCCATGGTGTATTCGATATACCAAAAACAGTAATAACAAGTCTCACAATGGAGACGTTACTGGTGCCCACCCGAGCAAATCAATGAACAACAGGAGGACAGTGCTACATTGCTACAATTAACACTAAATTTTATACTCCTCTTTCATATACTTTCTTTAGTCATCAAACTACATTAGCTACTTTTAAAAAATGCAGTTTTTACAAAGGATAAAACTGAATTTTATTGATATTGTGTGTTGCATAAAGTTCTACAGTGTGTAGCAAAGCTCAGGATATATTAAAGCTCTCTAATTACCAATTCCAGTGCTTTTTCTTCTTTATCAGGGTTTAAAATATTTTTTCCATTCAACTTTCCTTTTTACCCATGAAATACAACACATGCTAATGAAGAAACACTTCAGATTTTTTTTTCTTTAGATTTTTATTAGTGAAACTCCATGAGGTACAGTTGTAGATTTTCAAATTTTTGTGCTTGGGTTTCAGTTATACAATGATCGAATACCCATCCCTCCACCAGTGCCCATTCTCCACCACCACTGATCCCAGTATCCCTCCCACCCCCACCCCTGTCCCCCCATCCTACCCTGCCTCTGTGGCAGGGCATTCCCTTTTGTTCTCTCTCTCCTTTTGGGTGTTGTGGTTTGCAAAAGAGTCAAGCCTGATTTTCAGGGAGAAATGTTGGATGATTTACTTTCCATTGATCACTTTGCATATAAATGTCCTGGTACCCGCATGCCACAGCCATGCTTGTAGAAGCTCATAGTCACCGGGATTCCATCTGGAGAAGGCGGGACGGCAGCACCTACCCCATCTGGGACCTTCCGGTGATACCAGCTCTGTTTGGGGCCCGGAGCATTCTCTGGGAGCTGTGGGGCCCTCCAGCCGGTTTTCTTCTTTGTTGCTGAGTGCTGTAAGATGGCACTGGGGGGTGAGTTGTGGGTGTGACTTCCCGAATCAGAGGTTGCCTGGGAGCCAGGGCAGCCCCATTGCAATTCAGAAAAAATGTCCTGGTACCCGCATGCCAGAGCCATGCTTGTAGAAGCTCATGGTCACCAGGATTCCATCTGGAGAAGGCGCACTTCAGATTTTTTAATGCGGTTGAGTTTTAACTTAAATTTTGGGCTTATGTGTTCAGATTTCTTTTTTTAACTGTCAGATATTTCAGAAGTAACCCCCTACATTTAAAATTTTTATTTTTTAAAGTTTTTCACAATAATTTATTACATTTAATATTCCAACACCAATACCATCACCATTACACCTTCCCACCACCTTATTTTGAATGTTTCCACCCTGCCCCCCAAAGCGAGCCTGGAGATTTCAGTTAAAAGTTCCACATACCTGGGTTTTTCAGCAGATTCACTTATGGATAAGGCTTGTCTGAGCCTGTGGAAGTTGGCCAGGAGCATGATGGTGATTGAGTTCTGGAGGTTTTCCACTGCCAGGGCTCTATTGGGGCGGATCAGAACCCTCTACACTTTTAAGGTTTAGTGTTTAAGAGGCTAGATTCTATATCATAATTCCGCCTTCTGTAGTGTTGCATCAAAGATCTATCATGAAACAGAAAACTCAGCATGGTATATTGAAAGATACATGGAAATTTGGTTAGATTAACTTGGATTTTGTGTGTTTGTGTTTGGGGAAAAGAGAAGATTGATTTCATTTTTAGCTTTTTTATTTTATTTTACTTTATGTATGGGGTTTTTGGACCATACCTGATGGTGTGCTCAGGGGCTTTTCCTGACTCTGTGACAAGGAGTGATCCCTGGCACTGCTTGAGGGGCCATATGCAGAGTTATGTATTGAATTGGAGCAGCCACATGCAAGACAAGCACCTTGCCTCCTGTTCTTTCTCTCTTGTCCTAGAAAATTAATTTTTAAATATTTGTCTCTTCTGCTTAATGTGTGACCTTGAACAAGTTACTTAGATTTTCTGATCCTCTTTCTATTACTTATAAAAATAAGTCCTTTTGATATCAGCTATTTCATAGGGAAACGGTTTTGTAAATTTGTGTAATATATATCAGTATATTTTGTAAGGGCTGGAGCAATAGCACAGCGGTAGGGTGTTTGCCTTGCATACAGCTGGCCCAAGTGAGCCGGGTTCAATTCCTTTGCCCCTCTCGGAGAGCCCAGCAAGCTACCGAGAGTATCTCGCCTGCACAGCAAAGCCTGGCAATCTACCTGTGACGTATTCAATATGCCAAACACAGTAACAACAAGTCTCACAATGAAGACGTTACTGGGCCCACTTGAGCAAATTGATGAAAAACGGGAGGACAATGACAGTGATATTTTGTAAACTATAAAATGCAAGGCATTTCACTTAGCATCATATAGTCCAGGTTCACCAATGTTGTAACATGTATGATAACTTTCTGTTTAGACGGAATAGTATTTCTTTGTATGTGTATATCCATTTATCCATGTTGAAACCCCAATTGAGTTCCTTCCACCTTTTTTTATAGTTTTGGTTATTTTTACATGGGTATACAAATGCTTCTTCAGTTCTTACTTTATTCATATGTTTTGAAGGGGGAGGACTCCCAATGGTGCTCAGGGCTCACACCTGACTCTGTACTCAGGTATTAGTCAGGCATAGCTTGGGGAACCATAGATGTTCTCAGGATTCAAACCATTGTTCCGGCCATAGCCACATACAAGACAAGTGCTTTAACATCTGTTCTCTCTCTCTCTCTCTCTCTCTCTCTCTCTCTCTCTCTCTCTCTCTCTCTCTCTCTCTCTCTCTCTCTCTCTCTCTCTCTCTCTCTCTCTCTCTCTCTCTGCTCCTACTACTTAATTTCTGGAGGACATTTAACCAGAAATGAAATTGAATCATATGGTAGTTCTGTGTTTAATTTTTTGAGAAAGTGTCATATCT